GAGATACAGCACATGTTTCCGTCGAAACAGACATTAGATTTACATTGTGTAAAAACGTATGTTCCGGGGAACACGCGAGTCAAACCGCAATTTATGCATGTTAAAATTAACGATGTAACAATTAGTATGGAAATTGATTCCGGGGCGGCGATGTCAATAATCTCCGTAGCAACGAAGGACCAATATTTTAAAAACGTCAAATTACATGATGCGGATATCACACTAAGGAATCACGACGAAACGCCATACATTCCAGTTGGAATGTTACGACGGGTGAAGGTCGAAGCAAACGGAACTACAATGTTAGCCGATGTTTACGTTACAAAGTCAAACGGCCCGGCTATCATAGGTAGACCATGGCTGAAAGCATTAAATTTATGGCCTTTATTCAAAGAGGTAAAAGTACACGCGATTGAGTCGAAATCAACTCCTACGGAAACGTTAAAAACTATTTTAAAGAAGTACGAATCAGTTTTCTCGTCCGGGAAAGGGTCATTTACCAAGGGAGCGGTAAAGTTAGAGTTAAAACCCGGTAGTAAACCGATCTTCTTGCTCGCGCGCTCAGTTCCATTTGCAATGAAAGAAAAATTAGAAAAAGAATTAGTAAGGTTAGAGAAATTGGGGATAATTAAGCACGTCGAGAATAGCGAATGGGCAACGCCTATCGTGCCGGTGATAAAACCGAACGGTGACATACGTATGTGCGCAGATTTTAAACAAACTATTAATCAACAATTGATTACAGTAATACACCCTGCACCAAATTTCGATCATGCGATGGCTCAATTGCAAGGGGGTGATAGATACTCTAAGATAGATTTAAAAGAAGCGTACCTACAAATGCCTGTTGACGAAGAGTCACAACCTTTGTTAACGATCAATACACACAAGGGGCTTTTTCAATATAAATACATGGCTTTCGGTATAAGCTCGGCTCCTGGAATTTTTCAAATGCGTATGGAACAAATATTAAAAGGGATTCCTCACGTAGCGATTGTAGTAGACGATGTGGTAGTTACGGGAAAGGATTCAAAAGAACATTTACAAAATTTAGAGAAGGTTTTAGCGAAACTAGACGAATGCGGTCTGAAAGTGCGAGTAGACAAATGTCAATTCTTTAAACAAGAAATTACGTATCTCGGATACAGAATTTGTAAAAATAAAATAAGCATTGATCCAATGAAATATCAAGCTATAGTTGAAATGAAAAAGCCAGCAAATAAAAAAGAACTGCAATTATTGTTAGGTAAGGTAAATTATTATAACCGATTATTCAGGAAACGCGCCGAGGCATTAGCTCCGTTATACGAATGCAACAGTAAAGACAAATTTACATGGAATAAAACTTGCGATCAAGCATTCGAAACAATAAAACGAGAATTAAAACGAAACGTTGTTAACTATGACCCGAAGTTACCGATAATATTAACGTGCGATGCATCACCATTAGGTTTAGCAGCTTACATTAGTCACCCGTATAAGGACGGCGAAAAGCCTATCGCTTTTGCGTCCAAACGACTGACGAAAGCGCAAGAGGGTTATTCCCAAATAGATCGAGAGGCAGCAGCAATTATATTCGGCATAACGAGATTTTACGATTACGTGTATGCGAGAGAATTCATTCTACGAACGGATAATAAACCGCTAGCGAGAATCCTTGGTCCGGAAAAAGGTATTCCTCGCATGGCGGCGAGTAGATTGCAAAACTGGGCATATTTTTTGTCTGCGTTTAACTATAGAATCGAATGCATCCGCACAGAAGAAAATATAATTGCTGACGTCCTGTCAAGGTTACCAAGCGAACATGTAGCGAACGATAAAGAGGTATGCGCAGGAGTTGGAAGCTTCACGTACTTACACTACGTAGTCCAAACTGAAATTGTACCTTTAAATTATAAGACAGTCGCACGAGAAACGGCTAAAGATAATACATTGTCTGTTGTAAAACGT